GTAATCCCTTCCCCACAAGCTTGATCTCACCCACGGTTAGGCCTTCACATCTAGTAATGGCTCACTGCTGCAAGTTAACCATCACATCCAAGGAAGAAAAGGAAGCAACAGAAAGATTTCCTGCCTGGCCTTATGTTATATACCCTTAGTTGAGATGATGTGTTTTACATCACATCCTGTCCATGCATCACTTCCTTTAGCAATTGTGGGAGGGAAGTAAAGATTCTTAGCCCTCCTACCTAGACCTGTTTAAGGAGGTCCTGAAAGGAAGATAAATTTCCATGCAAGGAAGACAAGTTACCACACTAGGGAGAGTAGCAGCAGTGCTGAACTTTCTCCATTTATAGACAATTTGTCTTACCGTGGACTGATGAACAGCAAGGTTTTGGAGATACTTTTATAACCCTTTCCAGCTTTATGCAAGTCAACAATTCTTAATCGTAGGTCTTCTGAGAGCTCTTTTGTGCGAGGCATCATTCACATCAGGCAATGCTTCTTGTGAAAAGCAAACCCAGAACTGGTGTGTGTTTTTTATAGGGCAGGGCAGCTGTAACCAACACCTCCAATCTCATCTCATTGATTGGACTCCAGTTGGTTGACATCTCACTCCAATTAGCTCTTGGAGATGTCATTAGTCTAGGGGTTCACATACTTTTTCCACCTGCACTGTGAATGTTTACATGGTGTGTTCAATAAAAACATGGCAACATTTCCTTCTTTGTGTGTTATTAGTTTAAGCAGACTGCGATTGTCTATTGTTGTGACTTAGATGAGGATCAGATCACATTTTATGACCAATTTGTGCAGAAATCCATATCATTCCAAAGGGTTAACATACTTTATCTTGCAACTGTATATGTCTAGTTCCAGGAGCAGATAACCCCCCTCCTGAGCTGTCTCCTCTCAATCAGTCTGTTCTTTCTCTTTCTCAGTACTTATTTGTTATATGTACATGACGTTCATCCCTATGTCTTATCTGTATCTTTCACTCCCTTGCTACTACTGTCCTATGATATTTGCATGTAAGTACTTCATTTTTAATGTATAAAAACACAACAGACAAAATAAAGGTCAGAGGCTTATTTTGATAACCAACACGCGCCTGGTGTCTAATTCACGCTTCTCCAAGTATACTTCCTCTGAATATAACAAAGATCAATGTTTGGATCTATATCATGTTTGACATTAAACCTAGGTGGGTTGCAGACACAGAAGTGCATCTCCTGCAAGCATACAATTGCTGCCTTTGTTTTGGTTATTTCTTGAGCCGTTAGCCTGCGTTTGTGGAGGCTATTGAGGCCTTTGACATTCAGGGATAAGAGTTTTAGGGAGTCAGCTATTGTTCCAGATAAGAGATATGCTGAGTTTCGGCATTATGAAGTGGTCCTGTTGGTAATATGAGCAGCGTGGTAAGAACCCAGGGGGGAAGGAAAACATAAATAGCCTTATAGAAAAACCAAAGCATATACATGGGCCACAGCCGGGCACCAACCGCTCTCCTGCCCCTCATTTAATACAACACCATTTTTGCGCAGGAGCAAGTTTGTATGATTATGAAAACTAAGGGGAAAAGCAGTTTGTTATTACAGGCCTATGTTCATGTTGCTCAAATAGCCCCATACTGCAAAGGATATACATTACGTGCTCTCAAGCTACATAGTTAGGCCTCTGGTGAGAAAGAGTCCCGGAGTCACAGTTTAGGCCTTGTTGGACGATCCCGCCATCTGCCACTCTCCCTGCAGGTGTTTCGGTGATGCTGCAGTTGCCTCCCCTGAAGCTTGTAAAGTGAATAGTCCCCATTCTTTGAGGAGACGCATGCCCACCTCCGGTTCATTAACAGTATGTGTTCTTCCATTTCTCCATATGAGGACCTTCGTCAGATAGCACCAGCGATATTGAATGTTGTTATTTCGCAGCGTCTTCGTTACTGTAAGAAACTCTCTCCGGTGGCTCATTGTCAGCGCCAATAAGTGTGCATATATCTGGATGTTGGAATAAGGCTCGGGTAGCTAAAGAAGTTTGCATGCCGCCGTGAGTAGTGCATCTTTTGTTTTGAAGTAGTGAAAGCGCACAACTCGTGGTGTTTCTTGAGTTAGTCTCTGAGGCTTAGGCAGGCGGTGGGCCCGGTCCAGAAGCCACTCATTCTCTAAGATGTTCAGTAACAAGGTTCTGCATAGTGCCAATATGCCGCCACGCTTTCTGGGATCCCGCGGAAGCGGACATTGTTGCGACTCGAGCGGTCTTCCATGTCCGCCATCTTACATTTAAGTGGTTGATGCTCTTCAGCTAAGTGTTGTACCGTGTCTGCCAGCGAGTCATGTTCAGAGCATAATTCTTCTGTGCGAGCCTCCAGACGGTTTGTCCGCTCACCCAACTCTGATATCTACCGCTTTATTTTGCATGTCGCTCTCTTAAGATTAGATTGCAGAGTGACTCTGAACTCTTGCAGCATAGCATGTAATCTCTTTTTAGTGACTGGGGCGTCGGTGTAATGGCCCACTTCGTGGTCCGAGTCCTGCTGGGCTTCAGAAGTTTGAGAGAGGGCGAGACTGTTGTCGCGATCTTGGGTAGGCCGCATGCGGCTCTATTTTGCGTGGCAGATTGGATCCATAAGTATGGTTTGTTTCGCCGGTGCCATTTCAGAATGGAGGTAATGTGCTGTTTTGCCAATATTTGTGTCGGAGATTAGGCAGTAATTGCAGCTAATAATCAGGCTTTTGGGTCATCCAGGACCGGTGGCTCTCACTCCATGCGTCCGCTCACCTCAGCAGTTAGCCACGCCCCCTCCTCATCTGTCTGTCTGTCTTTAGAGGTAGAAAGCTCTAAAACCAAGCTCTGAAACCAAGTGTAACGACTCCTGAGAGGGCACACCAGCAAAGCTGCACCTGAGGCCTACCCAGGCGGTGAGTGAGGTGGACGGCTGCTGCGTTGCTATCCCGCCCTGCGGTTCCCCCTTGGAACTCCGATGCCACGCTGTAATGGCCTTGTCCCCCCCCTTTGGACCGGTGGGGGTCATCCCGGGCCCAGGGGACTGTCCTCGCGACCCAAAGCGCCCGGGTCTGGGGGAGCCCCATCTACTAAAATGGTGGATGTGGCGGACGAACCCGAAATGGCAGCACAGCCTGAGACCACCAACGCACAGCGGATCAGAGCGCCCGATGCGGCACTGTTGGTAGAAGAGCAGAGGGACCCCTTACCGCAACCAAGCCACTGCCTAACCTACCAACACAGGAGACCCCTGGCTCATGAGGAAACAAGCAGTTGGATCCCGCTACCTGGTCCCTCACCACGCAAAGCCGCGAATCCTGCCGACCAGCGAGACACCCCTACACTCTTGCAGCCCCCCGAGGAAGAAAGGGCAGAAGCGAGAGACCACACACAGGAACTGCACCCACCCCTCTTGTAAAACACCAAGCTGGACTCATTCCTATCAAGTTTAAGGCTATACAAATCGGGGGTTGGGAAAGCCTGGACTATACAGGGACTCTCTCGGGGCCTGGGCCACACATAGTGGGGAGGGCTCCTGTAAATCCTGCCATTTAAGCTGTCACACTTTCTTTATTAACTGCATGTCCCATCCTACAACCATCATCTACTTAACTAACAAAAAAAAAAAAAAAGTGCAAGTAACCCTGAATACCCCAACGTTATAAGCATGAAAATCAGCATGAGGAATGCATTTGGGGTACCTCACGCTTGTTGTTATTTGTCTTTGCACTGCAAAAAAAAAAAAAGTTATTTACTAAATGGTGAATATTCAGTGGCAGGTGAAAAAAACTAATTAGGGCCAAACAGCACAGACTTAAATTAATAATTTAATAATATATATATTTTTTTAAACTGAAAAGGTTCTCCTGGGTTCCCCAATAACACCATTTCCCACATCCAACACATAGTGGGCATAGACAAATAACATGATAAAAAGCTGGTTCCTCACCCTATTTCTACATGCAGCTAGCTGTGGGATAAATAATATTAGACTGTTAGGAAAACCCACTCCATCCTCCATTCCATGCTCTGAAATAGGGGTTTGATTGTTTCAGGCAATCGATGCAAACCTTTATAACAAGGAAGGAGCCATGTGTTGCCTCCAATCAACTCACTGAAATGACGATCCTTCATTAACCAATAGATTGCTATCTAAATTTCCACGTAAGCGGAGAGAGTAGGTAACCTGGCACTGTGGGTAACCTGGCATGTGCTTCAGCATCATGAATATTTGCTGCAATTCCTCACTTTGCAAATTAGAATTATGGAGTCAATCAGCCCCACAGGTACTCACAATGCCATCCTCACACATACAAAGCCAGGTGATTTCTCAGTGACACTGGCACAATAACTGTCCCACAACGATAGTACCTGAAACAAGGGAGCAATGGAAAATAAGGTCCCATTTAATCCTATATTTATGTGGGTTTGGGGTGGGTGTTTCACTTAAAGCTATATGACCAGTAAAATAAAATATTTTCATTTCATTACATACATAACATTGTAAGTTGATGCTCAAGTACTCCAATTCGCAATACAAAAGTGAAAGTATGTAACATGTAAATTTTGTTTGTGGCCTCCTCTGCACATTAAGTGAGAAGGAAAGAGAGTGAGGCTTTTACAAAGGTTACAGGTACTCTCACAGTTCCTGCATGTGGTGTAGGGGGATAGTAGCCACGTTTTTGAGTACCATTTCGACATGCCCATAAATGGCTTTTAACAGCAGCAGGTCAATTTATTGTGGTTTTTTTTGTGAGACAAATCTTTGAATTTGACCCAAATAAACAATGTATGAGGTAATTTGGCTGTTGATACATAACAGAACTGCTACACCTCACACAACAAATTGTATTATTTATTTTTCTCAGCTGGTGTGACATAGCCTGACTTACATAAGGAAATTCAGGCACAAAAGCTGTATGTGCCTTTAGTTATATTATTGTTATTTTATTATTTATAAAGCGCCAGCAAATTCTGTATATGAACACACACACACACACAAACACAGAGTCAGGTATTATTCTACACTTGCCTTCCAAGCAGGTTTTGTAAAAAAAAAAAAAAATCACTTTTAGTAACCACAGTAACAGTAGCAGGTTCCAGGCATGTATCCCCAATGCCAGTCATTTATTTTGTAAGTATGTTTAAAAACAAATCTCTCCTACCAAAATCTTGAACACGTGAGATTAAACAGCTGCTGTTTTCCTTAGCGCTGTCAGAAGTGCCTCACAGGATACAGACTGAGAACTCAGGATAAATGGTTACAAGCCTTCTCAGTGGGATACTTAAATAGTACAAGACCCACTGAAAACCACCAATCAGCTTTTCCCATCATTCTGGATAAATATCACAAACCTTACTGAGAACAAATGAACGTGTCTGGTTTATACCGTACGGCACAAGATCTATCAGTCTTCGCACAGCCCCAAATGGGTACGTATTTGGACTTCATTCAATGTGGAGGGTTTATTGACCCTGCAGGCACTCAGTTTACTGAATGACCACGTGACATCTTGACTATTCTCTATATCTCAGTGACACACTGCACACAGGTTTCACTCTTGGGTCAATATATGTGACAGGACATCCCCACAGCGGGAACTCACTTTAACAGATGCCAAATGATCTGCTCTAGTGGGTCCAATATTAAGTATTGCAATAGGAATGTGTTTCTCTTTCGCCTTCAGAGCAAATCTGTATCCAGAGTAAACCTGCACAAACAAACAAAAACAAAACATATTTTAGAGAAAATGTCACACACTTTGTATTCACAGACTGAGAGATATACCCATACTGGCAGAGTAGGCAACAAACCATATAATATTCTACACACACTGGGGGTTGATCCTCAAAACATGTTCAAGTCTGGCAGGTATATGCATATTATGTACAGTGTGTGAATACATGAATGAAAGGATCGGGGATGGAGCCTGGCTCCTATGAATCACTGGGGTGGTAACTCCGGTTAATAAGCGGCTATATTCTTTGAAGAGGTCTATTACAGTCAGGGGCTCGCGGGAGATCACACCAATACTTGAATCGTGTTTCTAACCCACTGGGAACCCAAGACACTGGGGACGAAGTTGAGGCGAGGCAGCCAACCTTCTCGCTTCCAGACTCTCTGTGCAATTCTAAAGTGTGCCAACCCCTACCCCACCCCCCCTCTTTGGACCAGTGGGGGATATCACGGTCCCCACTGGACACACAGAGGATATCTACTCTGTCCTGTGAGTACTTTCTCTGACACAGGAAATGGAGCGGACTTAAACTCCTCTTTGGTCAAAGAAAGTCAAGCTTAGGAAAAATACATGAAACAAAGTAGACCCTTCTTTGTCGTGTGTTTTAAAGAAAACTAGATCAGAAAGGAAGAAAAGAAGGACAGATTCTGAGAGAGGAAGAGAAGAGGAAATAATATGAGAAAGGTAAGTTCATTGAGACAGTGCACTTTAACTTCTAAATGGCAGCAAATTGAACTGTGAGACTGCAGGAGCATGATCTACACACAAACACTGCACCATTAAGCTAAAGTTGTTTTGGTGACTATAGTGTTCCTTTAACCCCTTACGGACCAAATTTCTGGAATAAAAGGGAATAATGACATGTCACACATGTCATGTGTCCTTAAGGGGTTAAGGTTAGCTGGAGCAGGGTTCAATTCCTGCAAAATGGATAAAGAGTGTAACAAAAGGGAGAGAATGGAGCTATAGTCAAACTGGAGGGCAGACCTTGCAATGCTGTATTAAAAAGGCCCTATTTCACTAAACGGTGCGCCTAAGTAAGCAATCAACCCACCCATGGCTAAATGTACACAGAAATCCCTACAACTACCTCCGCACACCACACAATATGGAGCTTTGTGCCTACAATGCCAGAGAGGTAGTTCCCATAGTGGAGCAGAAAGAAAACAAAAAAACAAACAGTGCTAAGTGTTACCCATATGTAAAATTAACAAAGAAAAACATCCTGACGCACGTTTTTAGGTTTGATGACAGACCTTAATCAGGGTAAACTTACTAAACCATTGGTCATAGACTGTTAAGTACTATAGTGTCATGCGATAACACTTCCGGGTTCGGCACTCCGCTGTGCGGAGCTGGACCCCGCCCCCCTCTGACGCGGCTCTGACGGTATTTAGGGAGACCGCGCCAGAGAGAGGGTGCTTGGTGATTGTGTGTGAGCTAATGTGTGAGCTGCCTCCGCGAGACCGCGGGCTCCACAGGCTCAGCTACTGGGAACTACTTCCGCCAGACTTAACTCTCCACAGGGTCTGGCAATGTGGGTCCGACTTCCTGGAAGACGCCGGCTCTTCAAGCTCTGATGTTGTCTTAGCCATCGGGCTAAGACAAGTATGCTTCATGTTATAGAGGAATGCTGGAGAACAGAAACTCACTTTACAAGTGGACTTTATCCCTTTATTATTGGAGGACAACTAACCTTAAGTATAACTCTCATCTAATTATCTACAAGTCTTGCTTACTGAAATCTTCACTACTACAAGCTACTAATTATTTGGAGGACAACTCTCATCATGCTTATTCACTATGCTCATTCACTATGAACTGTTTCTTGCTTTGCAATTACACTCAGTGCTTCAAGTTACTAATTGTATGGAGGACAACTACCATGATGCCTATTAGCTATGAACTGTTCTTGCTTTGCAACTATTCTCAGCTACTTGCTTAATGTTACTATTGAAGATTATTCTCATTAACCAAAGAGTGTTACTTAATGCATCTCTGAGGAAATACTTATTAATGAACTTTGTGTTGTCGATTACTTGCACGTCTTCTTATTGGATTATTGCCTAAATGCAATTCATTTAAGTTAACACTTATTTATTCCCTCTTTTTCTTAAAGCTACAGTATTGATACTTTAAAGTTTCTCCGTATCTTCACTCATGTAATTAGGGAGGTTTACAAGCTGCAGTTGAGTTCCAAGCCAAATCACCCATGTAGCGTCACATATAGTAACATAAAAAGGAATGGAAATTAAAGTAAATTATAGAAAAATATTGTTCAAAACACTTCTTTTTGCACAATACAGGTTAAATTCATAAATACCCTCTCTGTCACTCACCTGCAGCGAGGAGCCAATTATAAACATGGCGTCAGATTGGCTTAAGTAGTCATACAGGGAAAATACCAACTCCTGGCTCACGGTGTCCCCAAAGAATGTTACTTGAGGCTTCAGAACCCCACCACAACTTTCACAGGCTGGGACATTAAAGTTTGCCACCTGCTCGTCCGTCAGAAAGACATCCCCATCTGGGGCTACTCCGTGTGACTCTTCATTCCAGGATGGATTGAGAACCATAAACCTTTCCTGGAGTTCAGACCTTTTAACCACGGTCTTGCAGGAAAGACATGTTACCCTAAAGAGAAGACAGGAAAGGAAAAATGAGGAGGATAGGGAGAACAGATGTTACAAAAAAAACAAAACAACATAAAATGGGGTGGGTAAACGTTTCATATGTATATTAAATATATCATGTCACAGGAAGGTAGACATTTATAGAAAAGTAATGCCATCATACTCCAACTGATGGAGGCAAGTTCACAGAGTCAGTGTGATTTTGTTGTTTTAGGTGTCATTGTGTAAAACAGAAGGGTGAGAAAGGCAGTTGGACAGAGGGTAGGGCTTATGGTGAAAAAAAACCCAAAACAAATCTAAAGACAGGTTCTGCCAAGGTGGTGGTGTACAGGAGAACAAACAGATATTGCTTTCTCAGTTTATCTACCGATGAGTGCAACCATGTAGCTCAGAGAGGCGCTGCTGTCCTGCTTTGGTATGGAGGGCATCCACGTTTTGTGTCACCAGCCAGTGTAACTTCCCAGCTCTCTCCCAATTACTTAGTGCTATATGTGCCTCGTTTGGCTGATGGGAAGAAAACTGTGGCCATCCAACAAAGTTCCGGGCCCAGTACCGCCTCCGCGCAGCCTCGCTTCGGACAAATTCTGAATGTTCTATGGGCCTTCTTTCTGTCCTCGAGTAGAGTCCCACACCTTCAGAGCGATAGTCCGGAATTCCTGACTCAGTGGAGATTCCAGCTCCAGTCATGACAAAAAGTCTCTGAGAACAGGATACAAAGTCCTGAAGCAGCTCCACCTGATGGCGATCGACAGGAGCACAGGCAGGGACATACTCTGACAATGCAAGGTGGGAGAAACACCTGCACTGTAAAATGTTCTGCTGCCAGAAAGTCTGCACACCCTGTCTAATGAAAGGCAACATACCACAAGCCCTCTGTGCTAGAGATCAGTCAACAAACATCTGCAAGAGAAGCACACGAGATATCAGATCAGTACAAGTTCGAAGGACGGTTAATACATATGTCCTATGGCAGGGGTTCCCAAAAGGTGGATCCCCAGATGTTGTAGAGCTACAGCTCCCATGATGCTTTCTAAAGTTCGAAATGCATCACGGAAGTTGTAGTTTTACAACATCTGGGAATTAATTTTTTGGGCACCCCTGTCCTAGGGCGTCTGGGCATGTCAAATGCAAAACACCTGCAAAAGTTAAAAAATATGTACGCAATTATAAATTAGAGCTGTGTTTTTTCATACCAGTCCTGGAAGTGCACCGTGAATGCAGAATTTCCCAATTCTTTTCCAAAGTGGATACCAAGAAACCTGGGTCATTCAGAACTGGCTTGAAAATCTCTGCTCTAGTATATGAAACATGGGATGCAGTATAGTTCACACATAGGTTAAGAACTGTAGGTAAATGCAGATCCAATCATTTGTAGTGTGAAATGCCCACAGGAAGTACCGATGTCCCCAGGTGGACCATAATAAGCTCCATGGTCATGGTTATAGGAAGGGATCAGTGATAAGGATATCTGAGCTGGGATTATATTACAATGGCTACAAGAGGACTTAAAAGATGTCTGAGCAATATCGGAACCTTGTGCTTAGCAGGTGTCAGCCATAAAACAAGAAGAAGAAAACTAAACTAGAAGCAAAGTAGATCATTGTAATAGAGAAGCATGCCTGCCACCTGTTCTTTAAACTCATCTGTCAGATACAACATATATATTTATATATCAAGCGTGTGTACCATTTTTCTTACATTTAACATGGATTTTATAGCAGGTAAGGTCGCAATCCTCCTTCTTATTGCAATATACCTATATAGTACGTGAGGGATGAGAAGTAAGAATTGTAGCTTATGATTTGTAAATGTATAACAAATCCTCCAAACAGGAAAACAATGATGTCATCGTCACTGCATCCAGAAGGAATGGATTTCATTCTGTGCGGGGATGTTGGCCGCAGTGATCATGCTTATTAGGGCTCCCTCAATTCTACTCCTTGTAAGGAAACTGACAGGACCATAGCAGCTGCAGTACCTGGCATGTAACTATACACAATGTTAAAAGCTAGGACAGCTCACTGGAAGCTACAAAGCATTATATTATTAGTCAAACAAAGCACAATGGTGCTAACTGGGGGGGGGGGGGACAGGGACAGATGTTGGCTAACGGTGCTGGTTGTGCAAGCTATGGATGGACAGTAAAGCCCTAGATGGCAATATTTGACAATGCATTATGAAAGGCTGGTTAATTGGCCTTAGCAGAAGGTTTGGAAGTGATATTTATAAACAGTGTCAGGCCTATTCGCTAAATTCAATATCGTCAGTGATTCAAAGTGAATTTCAAATATAAGGACATTTATCCACTGTGACATTCCCAACAAATCTAATGTTAGTGGATAAAGCTGTGTGTGTTTGATTGCATTTTTTATTTTGCAATATATGCAATTCGAAGTTTGTTTTAGCAAGGCCTTTTTTAACCTCTAATCTCTCCTTTCTGTAACTGTAAAGCGCTGGGGAATTATGCCAATAATAATATTAATAATTAATTGTCAATACATTACATAATCAATGTAAAATTGCATTATATAAAAAAAAAAATCGAAATAAAACAACCTTTAAATACGTTCTCTCGCTGATTACTAAGGTTCTCTCCTGGGGCTCCTGGACTCCGATATTATCATTTGTAGATTAGAATGCATGTGCAAATATGGTCACAATCCACCCGTGCACACACATTCAACAGGGTTACTAAAGGGACATTTCTAAGTGAATTCCAATTTAAGGCCACATTAGTGGAATTGGATACATTACTAGGTCAGCCATGCTACATGTTCAGCCTAAAATGTAAACTTCACTTTGAATTCTCACTCAGTAAATAACCCTGCTAGTCTGTCATGTTCACAACCAAATGTAAACTACTGGTAGCTTTTTGTGCAAGGTAATAGAAGATGGGCACAAACATGTATTTTGTGAATTGAATGGAATTCTGGTAGTTCCTCCATTGCCGGTGTAGCTCTCAGTGGAATGCTAACTGCTGAACCAGGTCACCTACTCAAATACTCAACTGTTAATATCCCATCATTTAAGCAGTGGGATGAAGTTAATGATGATGGAGTTGGTGGGGTCCTATAATTGGTCCTCCCCCACCTCGCATGACGGCCCAGCAGGTACACTTTAAATAGCTAATAGTCCAGTAGCTAATACCCTGACCCCATGGATTACAGGATGGAGTATTATCTGTGATGGTGAATGACGTACCCCATGTCCTCTGCCTACCCTCTGCCCACTTACAGAGAATAAGGGTTAAATAGTACAACTGGACAGCTATGTTATGGCTTGCTAAATGTGGCAGACCCTGGTCAGACTGTAATGAAATAGTTAAAGGGACATTACAGTCACCAAAACAACTTTAGCTTAATGAAGCCGTTTTGGTGTATAGATCATGCCACTTTAGTTTCACTGCTCAATTCTCTGCTATTTAGGAGTGAAATCACTTTTGTTACTGTTTAGGCAGCCCTAGCCACACCTCCCCTGACTGTGACTGACACAGCCTGCATGAAAAAAAAATGGCTTCTTTTACAATCAGATGTAACTTAAGTTTTTGCAAGGCAAGTTCTCTGGGTAATATGATTCCAAAATTACTCCATCCATGTTTCTTGTGTGACTTACTGTGACCGATATTTTATTAATTAAAAAAATTAAAAATTAGTTACAGGAAAACAAAGCCATTTTCTTGGCACTACAGGTTTCACCCCCTCCTGTGGGGCTGAAGGGGTCAGGCTCCGCCAACGTCCGCTGTCGGGGGAGACCTAATGCCTAATAATTAGGCATTAATAATAATTAATAATAATATTATTATTATAATAATTAATAATTACCTAATAATTAGATCTCTTCATAGAAAGCCTGAGGGTAATGATTCTATTCACCAGAACAAATTCAATAAGCTGTAGTTGTTCTGGTGACTACAGTGTCCATTTAAGGTAAAGTTGATTTGGTGACTATAGTGTCCCTTTAAGGTAAAGTTGATTTGGTGGCTATAGTGTCCTTTTAAGTCACTTAGGACCAACAATACCCAGACAAGTGATTGGTGAGGGCAGTGTTTTGTTTTTTGAAAAGGTGGCAAAGCAGCACATTGGCAGAAAGAGTGTGAATGTCAGATAATGTTCGATGACTTAGCAGAGAAGGAAATCCACAGACAGAAAGGAAGGTGTGTGAATGAAACAGGAGAACCTATAGCTGTACATCATCTTTCCAAGGGGTGAAGAATGTGCACAGCAGACTGGGTGTAATTACAACTTGCATACTACAGAGGGCGCTCTGGCTCTGACGGGTAAAAAGGGGGAATTTGTGACCGTTAATGGACGTATTGCAGATTAACAGCTATGCTGTGTTTGATGCTCGGTGAGTTATTAGTCTGGCTGAGAATGATAGGAAGGGGGGGGGGGGGCTATGTTACAGTGTATCACGGTGGAGGTTGTTATGGTTACAGTGAGAGATCTCGGGGTGTTCCAGCATTAGAACGCTTACCAGAACGTGGAAGTACAAACAGCCGCAGCCAGAACTCACTCGGGACAACTAGCCCCGCCCACCGCATCGCAACGTCATCGCCTACATCTGCATAATATACCCATCATACATTGCTCTGGTTAGTCCGCTCGCTGGGTGTTATATAAACTAAAATAATGCAAAAACGCGAGTATAACCGCTTTAATGAAATATCCAGATAAATAGCTGAAGTATCCGAGTGATTGGTAATTTATAGTAGTAGATCGCTTTAAGCTTTCCCGGGGGGCGCGTTGGTTGGGTTCTCCGTTCGCCCTATGTTAGGTAGCTTTGCGCAGTGGCAGTATCGTAGCCAATGAGGTTTATCCGAGGCGCGATTATTGCTAATTGAAAACTTTTCCCAATACCCCGCCGTGACGGCTTGAAATATAGCCGGCACCGGCAATTTTTGACAGTCTCTACGGAGACTGAAAATAACGTTTAAGAATAGAATCAAACAATTACTGTAGCTGAAGAGAGGCGGTAAATCTCCTACGCTCTTTTCTTATTGGACGGGGGAATTCTGGTGTGCCCATATAATCCAGATTTTTTAATGTAGAAGTCCAGGTATCTCTTGATTTCTCATGGTTACACCAGCCGTGCTGTGATTTGCTTCTTGATTTCGTTCACTGATCGGTTGTGTGTATTTATGTAACACTTTAAAATAGAACGTTTAAAAAGAGAGAGCAGCTCGTGAAAGCGTGGAGTTGTGCTAAATTTATTAGAACCAATATAATAATCTAACTTGGTCTTCTATAAAATCAGGCAATAACTGCAGTTTCCTTCCCTTTTAATGATGAGAGGAGGGGTGGGGGGATCTTGGTATGGGTGTTTGCAGTGCTGCTGTATATCAGCTGCTTCTGGGGAAAGGAGGCTATTGCTATTCATTACAGGGTGAATGGGATGCAGTGCAGAATATAAAGGAATACTATAGAGTTAGAATACTAATGTGTATTCCTTATGCTGTACTGCTCAACTGGCTGTTTAGGTGACCGGCCCTCACCTGCAAGGATATAAAAATAAAATTTAAAAAAAAGGTCTTTTACTTAAAATTTCTCCCTACCAACCCTGCTGGAACCGAGCTGGTCTAAGATCACCAAATTTGATTATCTCAGCCAATCCAATGCTTGAAAGTCCAATGCAGGAAAATAGAAAATTATTTAAACGGAATCAACTCCAGTGGCTCTGGGTGGAAGGCACTTCACCAAGCACGTCAAACTCAAAGGCTAGCATAGGCCAAATAAACAAGGTTTAAGTTTATGTGGGCCGCAAAAAAACCCCAAAACCTTAAATTTTCATAGAAATGTATTATGATAAAAAAAAAACAGCCCCCCTATACGAAATCCCAGCCCCTGTTAAAAAAATAAATAAAATAATATTAGCCAACAAGCAGACTCCACTCACATTGCCACTGCCAGTATGTGACTCCGGAGTCCAGACTCTGCTTTAACCCCAATGGTTAAATCCACACCCTGTGTCAAAGCTACACCTTGAAACCCTGTGAAGGTGGAGCACGTCGACGTTACGTCTGAATGTGATGTGGTGTTGTGTGCCTCCGTGCACCTCCAGGTCCCCCACTGTCCAGCCGCGGCCATCACAACACTTCTTAACTTTGGGAGTTGGTATGGGGCCTCTCCTTGGGGTTTCCCTTCCTGCTCCTCACTGCTACCTCTCGCGCACAGTTTAGTGATGCATGCTGCCGGAATGACGTCATAATTAAGCAAACAGCATCACTACAGAGGGGGCGCGCGATCAGTGAGGAGCAGGAAGACTGAGCTCCCTCCCTACCGCCAGCGACCTCTCCTCCCAGCTGGGTAAATTTTAGCAGAGTAGGCACTACTCTGCCTTAACATGTCAAGCTCGCTTGCTCGCAAAGATATTCATTGTGGGCCGCATGTGTCCTGTGGGCCACGAGTTTGACATGCTTGCACTAGAGGCATTAAACCCTGCAACACAATAATTGCTCTACAAAATGGCAATCTTTTTAGTTGCCGGGGGAAGGGAATAGGGACTATGGTATTCCTTTAACTATGGAGAAGCTGGCAGAATATTAAAGGAACACAATAGTATAAGGATTTGTATTCTGAATGCTAGAATGTTCTCCTCTTTATTTAGATTCAGGACTGCTCCTAAACCTAAATAAAAATTGGGAAAAGAAGGGTATTGCCTTTTCTTTTTTTTTTTTTTTTTACCACTGAGGTCCAGTCCCTGTAGCCAAACGTTCTGCATCCCGCCACAAGGAAGGCTAGCTGGTAAAACGGAGATTGATTGGTTCTCAGGACAGAAGCACCTCTAGTGGCTGTCAAGCCATATTTAACCCTGCACTGGAAGCATTGTCATATCTATTAAACAGCAATTATTTACATTGTAGGTTTTAAACAAAAAGACAACTCAACTTCATTGAGATAAAGTGGTCTGTTTGTGTTAGTGATCTTTTAAAAACCACTCCTTTTATTTTTAACAGTTTACATATACCTTCAATAAAAACATGCATGCATTTATTTCTTTTTTTTCAGGGTATATCGAAAAACCTGCTTGCAAAAACTGCAGATCCCTTGTCTGCAGCCAAACCCGTTTTCCTGGCACTATAGGATTATTAGGTCCCCCCTTTCTCGGGGCCCCCCTCCTGTGGGGTTGAAGGGGTTAACCATTTTCCTGAATCCAGCGCCGATATCCCTCAGCGGCAGGTCAGTCTACGGCTGCACGCGCACATTAGACCTCCCCACAGGAAAGCATTATTCAATGCTTTCCTACGGGAAAAACTGACGCTGCAGGTCCGTGAGGATGTCCAGCGTCAGATAACCGACCTTTGGTCGGTTTGGATTTTGGAAGCCCTCTAGTGGCTGTCTGTTAGACAGCCACGGAGGGCAGACGTAGAGCTGCCATGTAAACAACAGGGACACAGCACCCAGACTACTTCAATGAGCTGAAGTGGTCTGGGTGCCTACAGTGTCCCTTTAAGCATGTGTTTGTCTTCCGCTCACCTAACATTCAGTTGGATGCAGGTTCAGATTGGTCAATTGGAGATTCTTCCGAAGAACAAGAGAAAAATGGCCTCTGTGCTACAAAATATATACATGATATAATATTGTGTTTATATTTTGCAGTACACTGATAGGAGCATTTTCCTGGCATTTCATTTACAATTTTCTCAATTAAGAAAAAAAGATATATTGAATCAATCATAGATCAATATAGATTTATTTATATTTTACTGCTCTTCATGCAGTACACTGATCTTTAATAGAGCAGACCCTTGTGATCGTGCTCTGTGGAGCAAATGGAAGAGGAAGAAAAGACAGCCTGGAACTGCCCCAAGGTCCAGATTTGCCATAAGGAGAAAGAAAACATGTCCTTGGTTTTTCCATGTGTGCTGCAGAATCGTATCCCATAGCTGAGGAGCATATGACGTTCATAACTAGCTGCTCTTCCTGTCTGTATTTAGTGTATGGGGCTCAACAGCGTGCAATACATATGGGTTGCATGTGTGCTGGCCAAGCTCTCTCTCAAGGCTGCTGGGGGTCTTTGCAAATTGTGTAACAACACATGATAGCGACAGATCTGCTTTAATTATGTTTTTTTTTTTTAAATGATATATATTGATTTTTGGTATCTGGCTTCCTGAGCAGCCTTGCTGGACCAAACTCTACTGTAATCTGACCAACTGCTGCTCAACCGAACTTGCCTGCTGCTGCAGTTTCAAACCGCACAATCACAGCAGGAGCCAAGTTAGGTTGAGCAGCAGTTGGACAGATAACAGTAGAGGATTTTTATATGGCTCAGATAAAAAGTGATTCTGCTTTTTCAAATCAATATACATCATTTAAAAAAAACGCCATCAAGTTTCATTAAATGCAATAAGCTTTTAAAAAATAAGAAGGGAAAATTTGATGACAGTGGCCTTTTGGAAAAAAAAGTTGTACATTTAAATGCAGTCTCATCCACATTGTCAGTATAAATTTATCATTCAACGTGACTTCACTCACCTTACCTAAAGTGCATAGTTAGTCACCTTGAAAGCATATCTCTTACGAACATCCAATGATAATTATGTAGCCCATGTACCAGCGTAGCTAAGGGGAGTGGGCCTTGACATTGCTAGTAGACCAGCATATAGTGACGTAGGTGTGTGGGATCGGTTAAAAAAATAGCATTGTGGGTGGAGTATACAGGTCATATATAAAGGGGACATTTTAGGTTAATGGGGCATTTTAATTAAGCTGCACTTACCTGTTGTTGTGACAGGCTTTTGTGTAGTGTTTTTCCTTTTGTCTCCTTTGCAGATTTTCTCAGCTCAGGATGGCTTGCAGGAGAGAGGCGTCAAGTGGCTGCTGGGCTGTTTAGGTGATGCTTTGCCATCAGGATCTGCCACGTCCTCAGCGCGGAGAACCAGGCCCCCTCAGAGATTGAGCCCCAGCACAGTTCTGGGTACGAGGCAACAGTGGAGCCCGTCTGGAGACCCTGGCAGTGTCAATGAGGATGTCGGCGGCAAAACCGGGAGTGAAGGAGTTCGTGGGAGGCGTTGGCGTGCGGCCGCACGTTCGCGTCATGGCAACAGGAGGAACAGGACCAAGGGGATTCCCTTGTGACCACATGTTTGGGCTGCAAACTAGGAGGTATGGAAACTACCAAACATTCGGCCGTGAACCTACAGGTACAAAAACAAACTACCGAACGTTCGATTTGTGAATGCAGCCTTTCGCATGCAGCTGGGCGTTCGGGAGGTGAATTTCTTGTTTCAGATGCGGCTGGGCGTTCGGCAGAAAGGCTAGAGAACTATTCACACAGTGAACAGCAGGAATGATATAGGACGAACGGCAGACTTTGCAGCAGGATCTGATATGCTGGAAGTGCTGCTTGGAGTGGAAGAGCGGAGACATCAGCTGTTCATCAACACTGTTTCCCCCACTGTTGCTAGCCCAAGGGTATCCCCGGTACAGGTTTGGTGGCAGCACGAGGGTGGCAGACGGTAGGCATACGGCCAGACAAACGACAGCTGGGTCCCCTCTTTCATCTGACCTCCCAGGATAACGTAAGGGCGACATGGGGTGAGTCGGGAGGCTAGCACCAGGGGGAGTACTCATATAGGGATGACGCAGAGGGACAGCTCAGGGGGTTTTCCTCACGGGTGGGCATCCCACGCTGCACTCAGGATTGTGATGTCAGGTTCTATAGGGACGC